AGCCTTGGGGGAGTGGCGGCACTGGTTAGAGGGGACCAGTATTCCATTTATCGTTTGGACTGACCACCGTAACCTCGAATACATCCGCTCCGCCAAGAGACTTAACGCTCGTCAGGCCCGCTGGGCATTATTTTTTGGTCGTTTTGATTTTTCGATCTCTTTTAGGCCAGGTTCCAAGAACGTTAAGCCCGATGCCCTCTCGCGGCTGTTCGGCTCCACAGAGGCAGCTTCGACCAAGGAGGTTATCTTACCCCAGCACTGCGTGGTCGGAGCTGCCGTCTGGGGAGTTGAGCAGACTGTTAAGAGGGCTCTCTCACTCGCTGTCAGACCTCCTCGTGCCCCGACAGGGACGTTATTTGTTCCTCCCACCGTTCGTTCATCCGTCCTCCAGTGGGGCCACGCCTCTAAGTTAGTCGCCCATCCTGGTGTTAAGGGTACCTTGGCCACTATTCGTCGGAGATTTTGGTGGCCCACTAGAGAACGTGACATACGTCAGTTTGTAGCTTCTTGTCCTGTCTGTGCTCAGACTAAGTCTAGCAATACCCCGCCTGCGGGTCTCCTCAGACCACTCCCTATTCCGTCACGCCCCTGGTCGCACATTGCTTTGGATTTTGTTACCGGTCTTCCTTCGTCCGCCGGTAACACAGTGATTCTTACTGTAGTCGACCGTTTCTCTAAGACAGCTCGTTTTATCCCTCTTCCTAAGCTTCCGTCCGCCCGAGAGACCGCCCAGATCATGGTAGATCACGTTTTTAAGATTCATGGTCTTCCTTCGGACATTGTGTCTGACAGAGGGCCCCAATTCGCCTCTCAGTTCTGGAGGGAGTTCTGCCGACTGATTGGGGCGTCCCCCAGTCTGTCGTCAGGATTTCATCCTCAGACCAATGGACAAGCCGAACGGACTAATCAGATTCTCGGCCGTATGTTGCGCAGCTTGACTTCACAGACCCCTGCATCCTGGTGCGATCAGCTTGCCTGGGCCGAATATGCCTATAATTCGCTTCCTTCGTCCGCTACTGGGTTATCCCCGTTTGAAGGTTGTCTTGGTTACCAACCCCCACTTTTTGCTTCTCAAGAGTCTGAGACTTCCGTGCCATCCGTTCAGGCTTTTATTCTTCGGTGCAAGCGTACTTGGAGGAGAGTGAGATCTGCGTTATGTCGTACTAGGGCGCGCACTCGTAAAGCTGCTAATCGTCGTCGGGTTAGAGCCCCTCGTTACGTTTGTGGGTTTGGCTTTCCACCCAGAATCTTCCTGTTCACGAGGGCTCTAAGAAACTTATGCCCCGTTTTGTTGGTCCTTTTGCTATTTTGAAGGTCCTAAGTCCGGCAGCTGTCAAGCTCAGATTGTCTCGTCAGTTACGTCGGGTGCACCCTGTTTTTCATGTGTCCTGTATCAAGCCTGTTATTCGAGCTCCCGCCCGTCCCGCCCTTCCTCCTCCGCCTCTCGACGAGGTGGATCCCATTTACAGAGTTCGCAAGCTGCTTGACGTTCGTCCTCGGGGGCGTGGCCACCAGTTCCTGGTGGACTGGGAGGGCTATGGGCCTGAGGAGAGGCAGTGGATTCCGGCCCGGGACGTCCTGGACCGCTCGCTAATCGAGGATTTCTATCGGTCTCGCCAGACCTCTTCCTTGGGAGCGCCTGGTGGCGCTCGTTGAGGGAGGGGTACTGTCAGGATCTGGGTTACTTATCTGCTCTTTCTCACTCTCATACCACCACACACACTCATTTACACACCCATTTCTCTCACTCTCCAGCGCACACACATACTGTCATGTTTGCGCTCTGCCTTCACCTGTTGATCATCAGTATCAGCGCTCTCGCTGCTGTCCGCTCACACCTGTGTCTTGTCTTGTCTAATTACTCAGTCTACTTCTAGTGTTTGTTCTCTCTGTTCTGTGTCGGATTATTGTGTGAGTACGTTCTCTCATTTTGTCAGTTTAAAGGAGTCTTACCTATGTCTTGTCTTGTGTAGCAGTATTCGCCTTGTTGTCTCCTGTCTCCTGTGACCTGCTTCGGTGAGATTCATCCGTTGTTCTCTCTGCTCTGCTGCCAGCTTCAAGGACCATTTACTCTGAGAGTATTTTCTGTTCTTCATAATCTCTCCCGACAAAGTATCCACTGAGAAGCTTTCTTTCTGGAGAGCACCTTTTTCTGTTCTAGTTCTGAGCTGTTATTCTTAAAGCTGTTTTCGTTGGACATTAAAGACTTTGCATTGAACTTCCTTTGCTTTTGGATCCTTTTGTATCAACCCTGACAGAACTGACAATCTTAAGTATGAAGCACAACATTCAGTACAGAGAAATATACGTCTCTTCCAGAGTTGTGAGATCCAGTCAGAGTCTAATTTGCTTTTAAAATATATTATATACACTCACCTAAAGGATTATTAGGAACACCCGTTCAATTTCTCATTAATGCAATTATCTAATCAACCAATCACATGGCAGTTGCTTCAATGCATTTAGGGGTGTGGTCCTGGTCAAGACAATCTCCTGAACTCCAAACTGAATGTCAGAATGGGAAAGAAAGGTGATTTAAGCAATTTTGAGCGTGGCATGGTTGTTGGTGCCAGACGGGCCGGTCTGAGTATTTCACAATCTGCTCAGTTACTGGGATTTTCACGCACAACCATTTCTAGGGTTTACAAAGAATGTGTGAAAAGGGAAAAACATCCAGTATGCGGCAATCCTGTGATAAAAAGGCCTTGTTGATGCTAGAGGTCAGAGGAGAATGGGCCGACTGATTCAAGCTGATAGAAGAGCAACTTTGACTGAAATAACCACTCGTTACAACCGAGGTATGCAGCAAAGCATTTGTGAAGCCACAACACGCACAACCTTGAGGCGGATGGGTTAAAACAGCAGAAGACCCCACCGGGTACCACTCATCTCCACTACAAATAGGAAAAAGAAGCTACAATTTGCAAGAGCTCACCAAAATTGGACAGTTGAAGACTGGAAAAATGTTGCCTGGTCTGATGAGTCTCGATTTCTGTTGAGACATTCAGATGGTAGAGTCAGAATTTGGCGTAAACAGAATGAGAACATGGATCCATCATGCCTTGTTACCACTGTGCAGGCTGGTGGTGGTGGTGTAATGGTGTGGGGGAATGTACCCATCCTCATGTACCATGTACCCATCCTCTGATGGCTACTTCCAGCAGGATAATGCACCATGTCACAAAGCTCGAATCATTTCAAATTGGTTTCTTGAACATGACTGTGAGGTCACTGTACTAAAATGGCCCCCACAGTCACCAGATCTCAACCCAATAGAGCATCTTTGGGATGTGGTGGAACGGGAGCTTTGTGCCCTCTGGATGTGCATCCCACAAATCTCCATCAACTGCAAGATGCTATCCTATCAATATGGGCCAACATTTCTAAAGAATGCTTTCAGCATCTTGTTGAATCAATGCCACGTAGAATTAAGGCAGTTCTGAAGGCGAAAGGGGGTCAAACACAGTATTAGTATGGTGTTCCTAATAATCCTTTAGGTGAGTGTAAGTGAAAAGTTAACAAATGAATTGTGTTCAATCCAGTCATCAGTAGACCTCTCTGTTAGGACATATCAGATTTTGGTCTGATATTTAAAATAGAAAAAACCTATAGTACAAGAGGTGCAGACAGAGGACATGGGAGATTAAGTGATGGTATTTTAATAGAGCTTACTGAGTAATCTCAGTTGCATAATCTTAATTGCCTCTCTATGATAAGTATACCTTTGTCTGATTAGCATTAGGGCTGGACGATATGGCCAAATTTTATATCACGATATATTTCTTAATTTCGGTCAATACGATATAATTCCGATATCGATATGAACAATATAAAAGCCTCAGAAAAAAATGCCAAGAACACCCACAAGGGATGTCTGTACCTACAATCTTCTGAAAAATTAATTTGCCAAGTCTATGAAACCTCCTCCTAAAAAAACTACATAATATTTTAGAAATAAAAACGGTACAAATAAATTAACGTTCACCTTTTATTTGAATTTAACCTTTATACAAACAAGAAAAGTCAAATAAACATAAGACTCTCAGACTGACCTTATTAATATATTTAACTTTAAACAATAACATAGGCTGATTCTATTATTCTTTACACAAAACTTCTTGTAACAAAACTTGTTCTTACAAACCAAAGTGCTTCAGCCAGGATAAAAAAATATGAAAAGTGCTCAGCTGCAGAGAAAAAGAGTGAGCAAAAACAAAAAAACATGTTGCTGGGACAGGGACATTGTTGACTGTTGATGACACCCTATGACAGGATCTAGAGGTTTCTGGCAAGAAATACAAGCTGGTCTACTTTATCTGGCTTCAGAGATGACCTTTTACATGTGACAATGTTGCCACCTGTACTAAAAACCCTCTCAGAGGGGGAGCTTGTGGCCTGAATGCACAAGTAATGTTGTGCCAGTTGGCTTACTCTAGGGAAGTTCTTTTGATAGACTTTCCACCAATCCAGAGGATTTGAGTCATTGTCAGCATTTGGAGACAGAAGGTAGTTGCCCAGCTCCCTCTCAACTCCCTGCTGTGCAGTCAAGCCTTCTGTGCTAGTAGTAGTGGTGGGCCTGTTTGAAAATAAGCTAGCCAGAGACCGCTTTGTTTTCTTGGCTGGTACAGAAGTGTCTCTCATGGCTTCTTCTCTGGACTCCTCTTCCCTGACCACAACAAATCTCTCTCCCTTCAGCATCTCCAACACAGTTCTCTCTTTGATGTATTCTCTCTTCTCCTCCTGAGTGTACTGAAGCTTGAATCTTGGGTCAACGAGGCATGCCATGTCAAGTAGATCATCCATGGCTGGGTCATCATACTTTTGGTTGAGGTATCCCATCACTGTTGTCTTTATGGTCCTGGTGAGCTCTGTGTCATCCTCTGCTTCCTTCAAGATGGAGGTGTTGAAGAGATGCATCACTGGTTTTAGAAATGATACAGTGACATAGGACTCACCAGAGTCAGTGAACTGCCTTGCATCAGACTGACTGCCTTGCATCAGTGAAATTGAGGAGTGTGCTTAGAGCTGCATCTATAGACTCTAAAACATCCACATCTTGCCAGGTAGGAACCAGCGTTCTGGTCTTCTTGCCCGTTGAGAGTACTTCTGTGATGGCCCTTTTCTGCCCCAGAATCCGCTTCACCATTTGTTAACGGGAGCCCCATCTTGTTGGTGTTTCACTGATGAGCTTGTGCTTTGGCAAGTGATACTCCTCCGGAGCAGCTGCAAGGTCCCGTTTCTTCTTCCTAGAGTAGGAGAAAGCAGCCACCACCTTTTTACAGACCCCAATTGCTCTGTCCACCCGCTTGTCTTGGTTAACTTTCTCTGTAGACAGATAGAGAGAATTTTTTTTATGCAAATTGTAATATATACTTATATTTTGTATTTAAATATTTTAAATACAATTTGTTGTTTATTAACCCTCTGGGTACCAAGAACGCACCCGTGCGTTTTGGCAGATTTTTTTCACATAGCAGAAAAATAGACTTAAACTACTCCATCATTTCTGGTCATACAGAGTTATGAAACATATAAAAAAACTGTTAAATGTCTACTTTTTTATGTGCCCACCTACAATCAAAATAAAATATTGTGCTTTTGTAAAATAAAGAAAATAAACAGGGTGTGCGTTCTGCCTCTCCGTGTCCGTGAACTTTTTTTCTGGAGCACGTCTCTAAACTTAAACAAAACTATACTAAAGTTACTAAAATATAGTATATATTTTATACTATTTTATATATAGCGAATACTAAAATATTCCCTGTTTATGTAATCTATATAAAAAGAGAGAGGTGTCAGCCGTTCTCATTATCGTTCTCGCATCTCATTATTCCGCTAATGTGACACGCCCACGGAGAGCGCGCGCTATTCAAACGCTAATAATCTGAAGCAACACATTGAGACGTGTAAATGCCCACACAAACTCTGTAAACACACTATATTTAGTCAGATTAATGTACTGTCGTCTTGCGCGGCTGTGAGGAATAATCCTGGGACATTTACCTACCTCAGAACAAGTGCTGGTTTATTTTCACTTCGAGGAGCAAGCTGAACTGTAAGTGTTTTATTCTTGTGGTTTGTTCTAATCGCGATATATAATAACGTTTAGTGTCTGTAAACGCAAAAATAGCCTACTGTTTAAATTTGAATCATGTTTCTGTGTGTGTGTGTGTGACTAGTTTAGGATAGATTATAAAGTTTTAACTCTAAAATAGACATCAAATAAGCTTTTGTTAACAGTTTCTGCTCATATGTTATATATATAGTATGTTTTGTCAAAAATAAACTTATCAACTGTTATAGTGTTTGTTCCAGCTAGCCTATATCAAAATAATGAATCCTTAACTTTGAAATATGTATAATACAATGTATTGGCCTACTTTATGGAAAAAAGACAATTTTCTTTTCAAGATGTTTCCAACTCTAACTTTGAACCAATTCTATTGAATGGCCCATATAACCTATTTGAACAGAATTTGTTTCCAGGTATGACTAAAAATGTGCTTTTGACTTTCATTTATATTTTGATTATTTATATATATATATATATAAATAATCAAAATATAAATATGTCTGTGTGTGTGTATATATGTATATATATTTTCCTTGCATTCTTTCTTGTGACACACCTGAATGAAATTAATGCATCTTTGTCTTCTCAGGTGAGAATCACCTAATTATTCATGAGGGGGTTGGGCCGTTCACGCCCATTGGCATATTGCCTTTCAAACAAAAAAATGTTTTTCACAATTTAAAGCAATCTATGGTTTTATGTGAATGGTTAGGCAGGATGATTTTTAGTTTTATCAATAAACATCCATAAACAATATTCTCTCAAAAATACAAACATGTACATACATGTTGCTCACATATTATGGTAGCCCTGCTTGTGCTAAATAGTGTAATTTCACCTGTGCCATTAATATGTTTATAAGCAACTGAAAAAAGCACAAATGTCAGGGCATGTCAAAACATCATAAGGACCCCAAAAACACCTTGGTCCCCAGAGGGTTAATATTATTCTTACTGCAAAATTCTTCTGCTTGCATATTTTTGTTTTGTTTTTACTTCACACCTGATTTGGCAAAGTAAACATATGTTCCAATGCCAGTAAAACACCTTTGAATTTAATTGAAAGAATTGCTATATGTATAATCCATATGTATGTCTTGAATAAAGATTAAATGAATAGCCTATAAAATCACTTAAATAGGGGAATAAAATCACCTATTCTAAACTACAGGCTAAGTACTTTAGTTACAGCTAAGGACTAATTAAGTACAATGATTTTAGTAATATATCCTCATACCATAAAAAAACAAAAAAAACAAAGTCCGTAACTTTTGGCGCTCTGCATGCATCTTGCGGAAGAACATTGTAGTCGGAACTTCTTCTCTCTGTTCATGTCTATGACGAATCACGCAGGTACTGGGCTACTCCTCAGCGGAGCCGAGCCGAGGTAGTTTAAAATAGTCAAAATAGATGTACTGGCTCATTATATACATTTTGCTAATCTTTAACTAAAAAGGTACTGCAGCTTTAACATAACACTACCATTTATATTATTAACTGTGTATAACTTACCAATAGCAGAGTTCAGTCGATGCCCGAAGCATTGTAGTCTTGTCCATCTGTTCAACTCAGCGGCTTTGATGATATTGGTCCCGCTATCTGTGGTGATACAGACCTGCCGGTCCTCGCGAAGTCCCCAGGAGGCGAGCGCATCTGCAAGTCCGACTGCAATTGCTTCGCTCATGTGATCCTCAGGAAAGTAGACCGTCTGGAGGCATACGCTGACAAGCTTCCAATCTTGGTCAATAAAGTGGACTGTCAGGCTCAAGTATGGTTCTGAGGTTCGGCTTGACCACAGGTCAGCTGTGGTTGCAAAATATGACACTGACTTCAGTTGTTCCTCCACCCTTTCCCTAACTTCACCATAAAGTGCAGGGATAGCTGTGCGTGAAAAATATTTTCGGCCAGGGAGCTCGTATCTCGGGTCAATGACTGAAATCATTTTCCTGAAGCCCACGTTTTCCACCGTACTAAATGGCATCATGTCCTTAGCCAAGAAGTTTGTAACAGCCTTTGTAATGTCTTTATGATGTTTAGACCGTTTTGTCATAAGGCATGAATGCAGCCATCTGTGTTTGCTGCATGGGTTTCTCTTTTGACACAGCTGGTGTTGGGGATGAGGATGGTGGTGTTGTTTCAGGGACAGGTTGGCTTAAACTTTTATAGTGCCTCATCTTCTGACTCTCAGAATGTTCTATCGGGTGGAACTGCTTCAGATGGTGGAACAGATTTGATGTGTTCCTGTTGCTAGTCGGCACCACTCTCCGGCACATTTTGCAGCACGCTGAAACCTGAAGTTTACCAGATCTCAGAAAGCCGAACCACTTCCATACCACTGAATTAGTCTTTCCTCTCTTATCAACTATTTCGTCTGCTTTCTCCTCACTTGTGGAAGCTCGTTCAGTCCAATGTTGTTTTCATCAACGATGACGATTTCGTTGACACACTTTTTTTTATGACGATAACGCGACGATGACTAGCTAAAAATGGCTTGGTGGTCGGAAACGATGAGATGATTTATGGACATACTTTCAGTATAATCCATCAGAAAGAAAAACGGTTGTATGATGTTTGTGTTTACAAATAATATGCATCTTGTTGTTGCACTGGCAGACAAGTTGAAGAACAAGTTGTAGAGCATAAGTATGTGTTCCTCAATAGTTTATATTTTGGGCACGTTGTTCATTGCACTTTTGCAATTACTCAAATAAAGCCACAATTGCCAAAGTAAGAATGTTTTTATTCCTGGCTTTTTTGGAGTAATTGCTAAAGTGCAATGAACAACGTGCCCAAAATATAAGCTATTGAGGAACACATACTTATGCTCTACAACTTGTGCTTCAACTTGTCTGCCAGTGCAACAACAAGTTGTAGAGCATAAGTATGTGTTCCTCAATAGCTTATATTTTGGGCACGTTGTTCATTGCACTTTAGCAATTACTCAAATAAAGCCACAATTGCCAAAGTAAGAATGTTTTTATTCCTGGCTTTTTTGGAGTAAAACAGTGATTCCACTGTTATCTGTGGGTAATGTTGTAGTAGCTCAAAGTTTTTTGCTGTTTAAACTTTAAACCATTCCTTTATTACTGTGATAACTGGTGAAAATAGCCAATGTGCTGACATTTTAGAAGAGCATCAATTCATGGAAAAAATATAACTTGAAATATGGGAATAAAAGGTTTCTGCCCAATGCGACAATGAAGTACAGCTTGGCAGCACTGCATCTCCATCAATGAGAAAGTCTAGTTTATTATGCAAAGGTTTTAAGGTTAACTGTTGTTTTATGAATTGCAACACTTGTTACAACCTGTCAAACCTAATTTCCAATACTTTTGAACCTGAAAATAGCCAATGTGCTGAAATTTTAGAAGAGCATCAATTCATGGAAAAAATATAACTTGAAATATGGGAATAAAAGGTTTCTGCCCAATGCGACAATGAAGTACAGCTTGGCAGCACTGCATCTCCATCAATGAGAAAGTCTAGTTTATTATGCAAAGGTTTTAAGGTTAACTGTTGTTTTATGAATTGCAACACTTGTTACAACCTGTCAAACCTAATTTCCAATACTTTTGAACCTAAATTAATGTGTTAAAGACTACTTTTTTTTGTTTTACTAAAATTGACTAAAACCTTTTTGAGTTTTCGTAGACTAAAATTTTACTAAAACTATTAAGTTTATAAGTGACTAAAATGTGACTAAAACTAAAAAGCATTTTCGTCCAAAAGACTAAGACTAAAACTAAAAGAGCTAACAAAAACAACACTGGTTCAGTCACATTTGAATTGCGGTTAGGGGCGCTCATTTTGTAGCTTAAACTTGCCGTGTTGGAGATCAGCAACTACTGCTGAGCACTGGCTGGCTGCGTGTCTGTGGTGTACGCCATCACGAAAGTAGCCAATTGTGTTCTGCTCTTTCTGACGGCTGCTCGCCTAACTTCAGTCAGTGAGACATGCTGTTATGTATCTTGAAATATCAAAAAAATAAATAAATTGAAATATCGAAAATGTGTTTAAAAATCATATCACCGTTAATGAAAAAAGAATATCGCGATATATATTGATATTGAATTATTGTCCAGACCTAATTGGCATAATATCAGATTTGCCCATTTTACTAGGCAAAGTGAAATGAATGCTTCACAACATTGTCCTGTGACACTAAAAACCTTGAGATGACAATACAGCACAAAACATAAGGAAATTAATGTTAAATATATTGGTAACACTTTACAATAAGGTTAATTAGTTAACATAGTTAATGTATTAACTAACCACGAGCAATACATTTGTTGCTGTGTTTGTTAATCTTTGTTAACGTTAGTTAAAAATACAGCAGTTAATGAAGTATTAGTAAATGTTGAAATTAACATTAACAAAACTCTATACGTGCAGTTCATTATTAGTTCATGTTAACTTATGTTAACTAATGAAACGCTTTTGTAAAGTGTTACCAATTAAGACATTAATACAAAAAATAAAGTATAAAAGAGAATAAAAAAACAACATGAATTAAGATGTTTGTAACTGCTATCCAGATGTCATGCCAAATGTGAGTAATCCTGAAAAATGCAGGGAAACAACAAGTATTTAATAATTTAAAGCTGCAGTCCGTAGATTTTCCTCTTTGTCGCCATCTCTGTTTGAAGTCTGCAATTGCAGTCATTCGCGGAATTATTAATTTTATGTGAGTTGTACATCGGCATGAAACAGCGCGGATGAACACAATGTTGTGAGGAGAGTGCGCGTCGCGGCTTTCGGTCACAGCGCCGGTGTGGATACTGGCATTCAGAATCACACATTCTACTTTTTGGAAGTACAGGATGACCAACATAAGAATTTTCACCGGAAAATGTCCTCTGAACAAGTAAGTAACATTCACTTTTGTTCAGATCAACTAAGGGGAAAAATGCATTGCACTGTCTGCAGTAAATCGCGCTGATTAAATCTAACGATCGCTTATCATGTTGAACCGTGCAAATTATAGGCCTACTTTATTCTCAAATTGTTAATGTTAACAACATCAGCATTGCGTGATTTAATGTGTTTTATGGTTACCTGTAGTTCAGAATTCATATTCTCCATAATAGCTAAACAAGAAAGGCACAACAAAGGAAACTCCATAACTGTGTGAATTAAGTAAACAATTGTGGTAACTACTGTTACACGATTGAACTGTTGAAATGTCTTACTTGTCCAGCAGAAAAAAGCGTCACTTCTTCCATTTTGAACCCCTTCACGCACTTTTCAAAAGCCCTGCCGATGTTTATCCTTGTGTTCACATGAGACGGTTGCTGTCTTTCTCTAGCCACTTTAAATCTGAAGTACGAAGTCTTTTGGGTTTTATAACTGGTGAATCTCCAGTTGACACTGATGATTGTTGTTTGGATCTTTCTGGATCCGCTATAAGTTAAATTATGTAAAGTGCTGCGAGAAAAGGCTATACATCTCTACATCTCCACACCGTCAACGTCCTCACGCGCAGTATAGCCGGCTAGCCGAAACTCCTTCTTTATGTGTACAGATGTGATGTAATGACGCAAAGACATGCTCGAATTTCCCGTGGAAACCCACCAGTACCACTGGAATTAAAATCATTATTACAAGCTAACAGTTTTGAATCGAGCTACGGCAACAAGATAGGTTTGAACACTGGCTGAATATGTTTTTTTTTAAATAATTATTTTGGATTATTTTTAACTTGAAAAAAGTTACGGACTGCAGCTTTAACAACATACACAAATTGCACAAATGGCAAATAAACAAAGGGTGCTCATTAAAATAGGTCTATTCACTATTTAAAGAACAATCTCGATGAGGCCAGTGCTAAGAGAGCTAGGGTGGGTAATGATTACGATTCGATTACATGATAGAAAGTCTAAGGCCTTCAAAAGCCGTACAGCAAACCAATCTAATCTGGTGCCTATTACACGACAAACTAAGATTGCTGTGGGGACAAAAAGCAGGACTGTTAAATTAGCACTTTTAAACATCCGCTCACTTAAAAATAAATCACTAAAATAGTTAACGACTTAATAACATAAATCACTAAAATAGTCAACGACTTAATAACCACAAACAACCTGGACTTTATGTTTCTAAATTAAACTAGGCTAGAATACAGTTGCAGTGCAACAGTCCTCAATGAAACAGTGTCTGAGTGTCTGCATAAAAGTTATAGAGACTAAACATGCTACACATATGGTTTTGGTTAACCATAGTATGCATGTCTTGTTTCAGACCAAAATAGTTTAGAAGAGAGAATGAATACATAGGCCAAACCACATAAAAGGAAAATTATGAGATGGAAAATTAGATACATGTTAAGACATTTATCACATGTTTATATATATATAGAATATATAAGATTAAAAGGGTTCATTTCTTCTTCTCAGCAAGAATTAGGAGACAATTTCCATGTTCCATTAGGTGTCATGTAACAGGACAATGGGTTCTGCCAGTGTTTACTACATTTGTGGGGGAAGTTTCATAGAACTTTGTTGGGAGAGTGAGTTTGTTGGATTATTCATTAAATATAATGAATAATTTGTGTCTCTGATTGGTCCAGGCGCTACACAGACTTTCTTCTCGAATATTATAAACAGCAACTTAAACAACACGCACTCTTTTTGGTACTGTAGAGAGACTGACAACCCCCCCAAGCCAGATTCCCAGTAAAATACTCTCAGACAGCAAGTGCAGTGAGTT